AGACCAGCCTGGCCAGCATGGTGAAACCTCATCTCTACTAAAAATACAAAAATTAGCCAGGCATGGTGGTAGGTGCCTGTAATTTCACCTACTTGGGAGACTGAGACAGGAGAATTGCTTGAACCCGGGAGGTGGACATTGCAGTGAGCCAAGATTGTACCACTGCACTCCAGCCTGGGTGACAGAGACTGTCTAAAAAAAAAAAGGAAAGAAAAGGCTAAATACTGTATGATTTCAAGTATCTGACATTCTAGAAAATGCAAAATTATGGAGATGGTAAAAAGATGAGTGGTTACCAGGGACTGGGGGACGGGGTGTGAATAGTCAGGGCACAGAGGAATTTTAGGGCAGTGAGACTATTCTGTACAATACTGCAACAGTGGATACATTCCATTAAACATTTTTCAAAACCCAAAGAATATATAACACCAAGAGTGAGACCTAATGTAAACAATGGACCTTGGGTGATAATGATGTATCAATGTAGGTTCATCAGTTGTAACAAATGTATCGCTGTAGTGTGGGATCTTGATAGTGATCGGGGTTGTGCATATGTGGGAATGGGGATATATGGGAACTCTCTGTGCTTTCTGCTTAATTTTGCTGTGAACCTAAAAACTGCACTAAAAAATAAGGTCATTATTTTCTTTTAACCTGAAACTTACACTAAAGTTGCAAGTGCAGTACAGAACCTTTTTTTAGACAGAGTCTCTCTCTGTTGCCCAGGCTGGAGTGCAGTAGCCCGATCTCTGCTCACTGCAAGCTCCGCCTCCTGGGTTCAAGCGATTTTCCTGCCTCAGCCTCCTGAGTAGCTGGGACTACAGGCGCGTGCCGCCATACCCGGCTAATTTGTATTTTTAGTAGAGATGGAGTTTCACTGTGTTAGCCAGGATGGTCTTGATCTTCTGACCTTGTGATCCGCTTACCTCGGCCTCCCAAAGTGCTGGGATTACAGGCGTGAGCCACTGCGCCTGGCCAGAAACCTTTTTAAAAAAAATATTGGCTGGGTGCAGTGGCTCATGCCTGTAATCCCAGCACTTTGGGAGGCTGAGGCAGGCG